TCCCTCTTCATCTCGTACATTCGAAGAGCAGAGGGTAGCTTGCAGCTACGTGCGAGCTGATGGGAGACACGTTCGCTAGAATAATTTATGGAGCACATAATGGCCCACGTTCGATATAATCAAATTCTGACACATTCTTACACGACCCTAGGGCTTTCTTGTCGTTTTTCTATATCTGGTTTAATTTTTTTTTCTTTTGGGTGGGGGGAGGGGGCTCAGTCTCCCCTGGGAATTGCGAGACAACGGAGTCGTGAAAATTTTCAATTTCGACCCTACTAGTAAACCTCGGAATCATGTTAATTTTGCTATAAATTGTTGATAAAACGTTTTGCTGATATCGATTTATAAACGGTTCTTAGCGTCCTTCGCCGAAGAGAATTAATTATTAAACTTTATTTTTGTTTGCCAAATTAAATTAATCGAGCAAAAAAATGTAAAGCAAAATATTGTTTTAAAGGGACGCGATCACGGTTATGCGCATGCGCGCCGTTTGTCTCTCCAGAATAAATTTGTTGGATCAACACTAAATTCGAAATCGCCATTACCGGTACAATCATTGAAAATCCTTCGTTTTATTCCGACATCCGTCCCTTTGGCCGGCCTAGTTATATTTCGGTAGTGGTGATTAACATGTGGTTGTGTTGTTTGACTGGTTACGTTTTAACAAGACGCAAAAAATAATGTTTTGATCAGGGAGGTTCAGAAGAGCATAGTGGCCGTCCGGCAACAGGACGTTCTCAAGAGTCTTTGGAGATAGAGAAGCTTAGCCGATCGATCTGGTGTGGTTCTAGGAGTAGTGTGTGGCTTGCGAAAAGAATACACGACACTTGGAAAGTGGTTAAAGGCATGAGTTCGTTCAACTTTGATTTGATTTTTGACTCCGACCTGTAGTTATACCACAACAGGCCGCACAATCTTCACCGATCTGGTACACTTGAAATGTTCCTTTTATATTTGCTTTACGATCGTATATGTTTAAGAATTGATGTTTTTAAAATAAATTATTGCCAGAATATTCTGTTTTTAATCTAGTTTCTTTATGTGTTTTACTTGATAACATCTGTTTTGCGGAACACTGACCCGATGCAACGCGAATGAATTTGTTTATTTGCTGATAAGCAATTGAAATTTATGCTCAATTAAGGATAATCTTTATACTCATACGTTGTGTGTTTTTGTCACCGGTCAGGCGCTATTTGTAGGTATGTCTGGGTTTATATAAGGCGAACTGAGAGAACAGTAATAAAATGTTTGTTGATATATTTTGTTTGCCGATCGGTGACTGCTTTGTTAGCGTGGGTACGACCTCGTAAAAATACACGTTGTTAAATGTTGGTTTCAAAGCAGGACAGGGCTGTAAATCTTATTCTTATCGGCTGCAACATATATCTGAGGAGGAGCAAAGAATAAACTTGAATTATGGGGATATATAAAATCAAACCAAATGCCCGGAAATACTCTCGCGTCGCGAACAATGAATTTGAATTTTGTAAATTTACTTGCGTACATCTAACTCGCTTCGGATTGGTTTAAAAACAATCAGCTGCTGACAGAACTCACACATGCGCATTATCGCGAACCAGTCCCTTCACATGACGCCACTGATATTTGTAGCCGGCGCTCATTTTACTGACAGTAGTCGATGGCGCCCATTTCAATTTGAAAAAGTTTTTGTTAAAATTAAAAATGGATGCCGCCAGAAATACTAAAGTGATTAAAAATGTTCTGAAGTCAACCGTTTTTAATTAAACAATGAAAATAATGAGGAGGCGTTCAGAATTATCAAAGGCTCAAAATAAATGAGAGTAAAATCATTTGAGGTAGAATTAAAGAAAACAATCAGCAGTATTTGTTAAAAGGAACTCTCGACGGGGTGTTTTTCCTTTCATAAAATAAAAGTATTCGCCGACCAGATTATTGCCTGATGACGACAGGCAGCTGTACTTGATTTAAAGACCTGGCTCCAAATGGCCTTTAAGGCCCGGTTCAAACGTGGAACTTTACATGTGCCGAACCTAATTATTAGGCTCAGCACATGGAAAGTTCGACGTATGAATCAATTAGGAACGACACTTTTGTATCTGGGTCGACTCTGCTGTTCTATTCGACTGAGCTTGTCGAATAGAACGGCAAAAGGTCGACTTCGATTCATACGTCGCACTTCACGTGTGCCGAACTTAATGCATAAATTATGTTATCGTATTTTTCAATATAACCGCGCTTCTGATTGGCTATTTAGTGGGTTTCCGCGCCTGTGCTGACAGAACTCACAGAAGCGTAACGACGGTTACGGTCAGATTTTTAGACTGAAACTGGACAACTCAAAACGGTCTTCTAAAAGTTGCTTTCCTTTATATCCATAAAGAAATCGTAATGTAATTTCAAATTTAATGCGTTACTTTATTCTGTCCAAATATCACGATCACGATCTCCTCAGCTGTCTCCTTGCCATAACAGAGCACAAATCATACTAAAATCATAACAAGAATTTCCAGGATTG